GCCAATTTCGAAGTCAAAGTCAACAATTCAAATTGGGAAGCAATTGAAAGCACCCGGAGCAGTCTGGGAGCCAATTGCAAGTCAAAGTCAATTGGGAGCCAATTACAATGGAGAAATTCAAATTGGGTGCCAATTACAAGCCAATTGAAATTGGGTGTCAATTATAAAGGAGAAATTCAAATTGGGTGGAAGTTCAAAGCCAGTTTGAAGTCTGAGAACACCCAGACGTGAGAATGAAGAAGATGAAGATGAACTTACAGTGAAAATATTCTCACAAGGAAAAATACTAGTTTTAACTAGTATGGGATTAAATTGATGAATATTTTTAAATCCCAAAGATACAAGAACCAATTCAGAGCTAATCAGAGAAGCCGTTCTACACCCAGATATTCCCACTCAACGTAAAACCAGAGGAAATATCAGATGAAGTTTGTGAACCCATTTACATGGAGATGAAGCTCTAACAACGGCTAGCTTATCCTTTCTGACATCTTTGCAGAAGATAAGATAAGATCTCTGACAAAAAGATACAAGATTTCAAAAATGAGAGTGTCTCTTTCCAACGGACAGATTCTCATTACCAGCTATAAAATGATGAAGATATGAAGACTTGAAGAAGTGTGAAGAGCAATAGAGCAGTTGAGAAAACTCACGAACAAGAGAGCAGAAAATTCGAATCCATAAAAGGGATCGAATAGAGCAATTAAGCTTGAAAGAGCATACAGCAAAAATCTCATTTGGTACAGAGCATACCAAAAATCTTCAAGTGAGAAGTGAGAAAAGAAAAAGAACTCAGAGAGCTTCAAAGAAAAATATTCAGAGAGTTCTTAAACAGAGCAAAGCAGAGCAAAAATATCACGTGCTTTACTTGATATATTCAAAGAGAGAAAACACTCAGAGCTATCAAGAGAAATCATTCCAGAGTGTTTATCTTCATCAAAGAGACTTGCGCATCATTGAAGATCACCTACAGAGTCTCAGAAGTTGGAAGCAAGACAACACTTGTTTTGGAGCAAAACAAGAGAAGGGAGGAAAGTAGCACGGAGCTGTGAAATCCTGGATTGCCACACGGAGCTGTGAGATCCGAAGCAGCAGTGTCGGAGGCACTGGGCGTGATTGGTGTGGGCTTGGTGATCAAAGCACCAGATCACGGGATACGTTTCTACCGGAGTGTGGAAGACGGGGGGAAAGTAACGCGGAGTCGTGAAATCCTGGGATAGTAGCGCGGTGACATGAAACCCGAAGCAGCAGTGTGGTGTCACTGGGCGTGATTAGTGCGGGCTTTGTGATCAAAGCACTAGTTCACGGAAATTCATTGTATCTTGGAACCAAGGAGTGGTAGATATAGTGAATTGCTCTTGGAGATAAGAGCAAGTGGAGTAGGAGGATTACACCACCTCGCGAACCACTATAATTGTCTTGTGTTCTTTACTGCTTTCTTTACTTACTGCTCTTTACATATTCGCTCTACACGAGATATACTGCTCACACAATCTCACACACACTTTATGTTTATTTATTTCCGCTGTGCACCATACTCTAACAATCTAGTTAAGAGTTTTGGTTTATCTCTGGCTTAGCAATTGTTGTGCTGTGTGAAAAAGTTTGAAAGTCTATTCACCCCCCCCCCCTAGACTTTCACCTTACCTCTTTTGGGACCAACAGATTCTTCAATAAACACTCTCCATAAATGACTTTGATTGTAGAAGGTAGGACTATAAAGGAGGAATGTAATCTCAGAAGATTTGGTCCATACCTTTCTTGAAAATATACGCTGATCTTCTTTCCAAACTTGTCTGATAATACCGCGTAAGACTTTTTAGAAAAAAGCTTCCTAAATCAGATCTTCAGTGTCAGTCCTTCTGTTGTTGCTTCTGATTGATCAGTCGTCTGTAGAGCTGGACGGACAGACTCTAAACCTATCTTAGTATGCCATAATAATATTGCCAATTATAATATGGGGTTTTTTGAACATTTAAAAACACTAACAGTTTTCATATATCTATATATATCTATCTATAATGTATTTCAACGCATTGGAGTGGGTTACCAGCATCTCTCGCTGAACAGATATATTTGGCTTTCAGGCACAGAGGAGTAGACACTAGAGCGCGCTAGAGATTTGGAGCGTAGAGTAGATAGTTTCTCTTTCGGCCTGCGTGCCATGCTTATGTATTTACATTATTGAGGATATTAGTTAGTTAGCCTGTGCACCTGAGCTCTCTAGCTCAGGTGTGGCATAACACCCCGTACTCTACTATATTATGTTTTGGGATTTAATGAGAATTGACCTTTATTATATAAGTCTCAAAAGTTTTAAAATGTCGGGGTGTTACACATCTCATCAACATCAAGATTATATCATAATCATCATAAAAGATTTATCAAGACGCAAGCATAGAATCGCATATCAAAGGAGCCAAAGAAGAAGATTATAGCAAGGAAAATAGGTTTTGTTGAGACATGGGTTAGCTCTTAGCCTTAATCAGAATCCTTGGCTACTAAGGTTCTTCTCTAAGATTTTCATCCGATTGATCTCCCTAGGCTTGGTGGTGGAGAATCTCCCGGGAATATTTTCATGTAATATAACTATGGGTGGTACGAGTTCTAATTGTTTTCTAATCCCCTATTTATAGAATCAGGAACCCTAATCATAATCTGAATAGTAAAGGCCTTCTTTCTTTATTCCTAATAGATATATAGGTCTAGGATTCCTAATTTGAATCTGACTAGTAAAAGGTTTACTCTCTTTATTCCAAATTAAATCCTTTTTAATTATTATTAACGGAATTAATTAAATAATTAATTCGGGATTGAAGGCCGTAGCACGGGATGTTACAGGATATATCCTACCAATTACATTAAATTACTATTATGAGTTCATAAAATTACATATTGCATGTTCATAAATTCTTGTAGGTTTATCATAGAATTGTAATTATATTGAAAAAATATATGAATATAGGTGTGGCTTTAAAGATCTTAACTAGATATTTTTAACCATATATATTTTTATATATTGATCTTATTTATACAAAAAGAAATAAAAAATTAATATATTTAACTGAGAATTGATAAATTTGTGCTATTTTTATGAACCTAAAGTATTACTGTAATTTTATGGACAATATATAGTATTAGTATTATTTTTATGAACCTGGTCCATAATATAATTTTTATAAATCAGAATCAAACTGCAGTCATGTTTAGCTCTCAATCTCTAACCATAATAAGATTACTTGTCTTAATCCCATTTCATATGCTAGGGATAAATATAGCGTATTGGGACACCAGCAATATATCCGATCTTAGCTCAGTTGGTAGAGCGGAGGACTGTAGTTGGAGTATTTCCTAGCTGAAATCCTTAGGTCGCTGGTTCGAATCCGGCAGGTCGGATTTTTTTTCTATTAATAATTCCGTTTATCCTTAACCAAGAAATCCAAAAAATGTTGAAAACGCCGTTGCCGGGGATCGAACCCGGGTCACCCGCGTGACAGGCGGGAATACTCACCACTATACTACAACGACTTCAACGTTCTAAGTTTCTACAGAATTATATATATTACGGGGGAAAAGATATATAACACAAAATCCTTTATATAATAAAGCTATATGGTTTGGGAAATAATTAATGTCACAACATCCTTTATTAAAAAAAAAAAAAAAACACAACATTTAAAAAATAAAATAGCTATATATTATATAATCATATAAAAAAAATACTTTTGAAAAATAACATAGCTATATATTATATAATCATATAAAAAATGTGTTCAATTAGAGTTTAAATTTACACATACAAAATTTGAAATTTGCTTCCAAATGTAATTATCTTAGTTATTATTTGTATTGTGAAAATTATAATATAGATGAAATACAATTAAGAATAAATCAATGTAATTATGTAAATTATCTCTATAAGTTTATTTGAATATGCACATAATTAAAGATTATATTAAGCATACAAAATTATAATTATAATTTTAATTTTAATTTTAATTGTAATTTTGTATTCTATAAAAATAATAAATACTTGACCAATGGAAGCTCAAAAATATTATTATATTAAATAATTTAAAATATTTTAATTTTTTATTTTATATTTATATTTATAATAGCATAATTTTTTTCCGTGCATCGCGCGGGTGAATTACTAGTTAGTGCCAAAATCAACAGATATAATACTAATGTAAAGTCTACAGTAAACGGCGGATATTCACAAATCAGAATCTAGGTGACAATTGAAGGGCAGTGCTCGCCTTCACATTCTAATGACAATCATTATTGCATGGATTGTGAACTACAGTCTAAAAATACATAAAGTATATTATTTTAACTTATAAATATATTATTTTATCTCAAAAATTTTATTAAGAATGTAAGGAACAGAGTACAGCGCCAACTAAGAGTTTTGAGTTCGTCTTTCAAACACAAAGTACATTATACATTATTCTAACTCATAAAATACATTATTTTAACACATAAGGTATATTATTCTAACTTATAAAATACATTATCTTACCCTAGAAATTTCATTATTCTAACACATAAAGTAAATTATTTTAACACATAAAGTACATTATCTTACTCCAAAATGTTCATTATTCTAACACGCTCGCGGAGTAAAATTTTATTTTTTTTTTTAATATCAAAACAACGTCATTTTAAAACGTAGTCCACACAATAATATGCCGACAAAAGAGTGATGGTCATACCAGACCATCCAGAGGGGGCAAATTATACCCGAACCAGGGTCTACCTTGCATTGTAAATCCTAGTCCAAAAATAGTATTCAGATTCTATATCTATAGTTGACAAATTATGTACTTGCAGTTGATAGTTTTTGTACCTGTAGCTATCATATTATGTGTCAACAATTATCGAGTCAAGTTTTATATCTATAGTTGACACATTATGTACCTGTAGTTAATTTGGTTCTATGGCACTATAAAAAAAACTACTACATTCTCACCCCACAACTTAATATTTCAAGGTAGAAAAGTAGGGAACATGATGCTTTCTTTCTTCAGCCAACATAAAAAGATGAGAGTTCAAAGGCAAATGCCGCATATGCATCAAAAGGACATCCACTACGCCGCTATAATATCAACAAAACTGTATTTCCTATTTCAAAGCCTTACCATTTGTAGCCATAAATCCATAATGAGTGAAATTTTTAAGCTAACTTTGGCTAGTGTCTTCTTTCTTGACCCACTGTCTAACTTGTTTTCTTTGAGTGTTTCCCCTGGGCTTTCTCCTACTGAAATTCCGGTTTGTGCTGGTAGCAGGTGCTTCTGATGAACCAATTACTACATTTATTTGAGAATTTGCTGTCAGATTCTCGTGTTGTTGATCACTTGTTTCTTTCTCATCCACCCCCGTGGGTGGTTCTGTTGATCGCTGAAGATAGACACCCGGTCGTAGCACTTCATGTTGTTTTGTTTCAATTAAACCACCCTTCTCTTGCTGGATTTTCAATATAGCATCAAATTTCTGTTTTCTGATTTTCTCCAAGTCGGACTGAAGAATCATATCTTCTTTGTTGACTTCAACTCCATCGGAATTCTGAAATTCATTAGATAAATGTCTAAGTAACTTCACATGAACAGCTTTCTTTTCAAGGAAAGAAATACTTCTGAATAGAGCATGAATTACCACATAAGAAAAATAGAGCATGTTTCAATTTTAATACATTGTTGCAACCTTAAAAGTTAAAAAATGGTTTCAATTTGCACAGAGAAGCATGCCAATATGCCATCACAACTATTATGAATGTTTGCAGTCCCACCAACAAAACCACAGAAACTTGCAAAATTACACGACTTAACTAGTAGATATATGTATTTACAAATACATACCGGTTGTGATTGCATCCCCACCAAGTGACGTGCATGTTCTATATCCCTGGCAAGGAAAACCTTCCGACACACTGGGCAATTGCCCTTACTATCTTCTGTTGCATAATGCATTGCAATGAAGTATAAACAGTTAGCTTTGGTATTAAGTAACATAAAAAATCAGGTTGGGATAACAATCAATTACCTAAAGGAATACATACAGACATATAGGGAGAGAGAGAGAGAGAGAGAGAGAACTCCGGCAGATTGAACAAGTAATTTAGAGCATATAGAGGGGAAACAATGTAAAGAGATCCACTTGTTCAACTTCAACTCAGAGAACCTGTGTTAGATCCTTATTTGTTTGCAAGATATTGGCAGCAATAGTACTGAGCTAGCTTGCAAGAGACTGGTCTCACAAAAAAGAAACCGATCTCTGGTAGACTTCTATAGGTGCTTGGTGCTCTTTTTTTTGAATGAAAACATAAATGAAGAAAAAGAGATTGGTCTCGTGAATACTACACCATTCATTTTCCAAAACAAAGAGAAGGAAGGTCTGATGTCAAACAATAGCATGACAATTATATTTCCCCAAGAAAATTAAGAGAAGTTACCTAAGAAATGCTAAAACAGTTATGGACCTAAAGAAAAAATCAGTAGAAAAAATTGTTGAAAACTAAAGAGTTAGGTTTATCTATAGGGTTGTGTCTGTTTATGAATTGGTGTCAGTTATGGGTAGTTACTTACAGTTATGTATTTGTGTATATATATGTACTGTGTTTCTGTATTAGAAACAAGAGAGAATACCAATATAATTTCAGTTTTATATTCATTTCCTAGTCTTGATTCTTCATATTGCTTCCGCCTAACTCGCGGGTGGTATTATTCTCCACCCGCCAGGCCATTCCATCTTCCAAATTCAACAAAAATAACTAATACTGTGAGAAAACAGATCACAAAAAGTTAGCATGTTCATTTAGCATTTTCCACTATGGAAGAATTGGTGATTTCTAGATACTGGAATAACATTGAGCCTATTGGGTAGGTATTATCTTGAATTTGGTGGTGAAGAAGAAGAGAGGCCCACAAACCTATGTAACAAATTAGAGAATTACATAAGCCTAAATGGTAACTGGTGGTAAATGAGGGGCTAGAACAGCTAGCATTCAGCATAACATTAGTACAGCACATTACTATATATAATACACACATGATAATTATCTAATTTAGCTGTACCTTGCTTAACCTCTGCATTATTAGGGGATCTAGAGGAACCCAAAACATTAGCACCATCTGTTTCTTTTGGATCTTGGAGCCAATTCCACCATCTAATAATGCAGTCACTGCATGTATAGAAGAATTAAAAAATCAAAATGCAAAGGGGGACAGCTCTGCACCATCTGTTGGTACATGAATTGAACATGAAAAAAGAAGTATAAACAGAACTTACCAATGAAAGCAGTGAAAACAAGACATCAACTTCATAAATGGCAATGAACTATTTCCAGTGTCTTCATCAACCAATGGATACAAACATAACGGACAATTTCCATCAGGGTGATTCATGCTGGATAGCCTTTCCACTGCTTCCTAGGAACACATTCAAAGCCATGAATATCTTATAACCCACTTGGCAAATCTAAAGTTAAAGAGACTGCTCAAGACTATTAATGAGAAGAGGTTTTAAATAATAAGCGATAAATTTATATATTTTATGCAAAACTTTTATTGAATTTAAGGTTATTGATTTTGTTATTTTAAATTTATTTCTACATTTTTATAGGAACAAATTTGATGGCTTACTACATAGCTAATGAAAGAAAATGGCAAGGACTTAACTATGGGCTAATGCTCCAGTTACAACGAAAGATATTACATTCGCTAGACTTAAAGAAGACAAATGTTGATGTAACTTCATAGAACTGTGTACCTTGAAAACCATTCAATTACTCATCCATTTCCCCACTAAGTAATGGAAAAACAAACCATTGATAATGGAATCAATTTGACTGTTAGTGGTAGTTTGTGGGCTGCATAGTAAAATAATAACCATATTTTGCACTTGATGGAGCGAAGCCCACTACTTCAAAAATAAAGGAGGGGATTAATGTAGGATTAATGGAAGGAAAATACTACATGGACTCCCACTTTTTACTCCCAACTTCTACTCCCTCTCATAAATCCTTGATGTAGACACTTTTCCTAGGAATCACATGATGAAAATATCCTATCCTTGGTTGCCACATCATGGAGTAAAGTGAGGGAGTAGAATTTGGAAGTACATGTAATAGAACTCTTAATGGAATGAAGTGGCTATTAATTGAGAGTAGTGGGTGGGAGTTTTTCTGGTTTTGTCAAGTACAATTGCTTTAGTGTTAATTACAAAGGGAGTACTTAGACACTTAGTATTTCAAAAAGGAAGTAACGGAAGAAGAAAAAAGGAGAAAGGGAAGAAGAAAAATAAAAGGAAGGAGATCTGTTTGTGCCTAATTCATCAAGTTTTTGTATGAAATTTTCTAATTACCCAGTGAAATCCTTTCAATATGCACTAAGGGTCTGTTTGGAAACCCGGAAAATGACTTCTGGAAATCATTTTCCGGGTTTTTGGTGTTTGGGAAGGCTGAAAATGAAATGGTCAAAGGAAAATGCTAGCTAGTCAATGGAAAATGAAGGCTAAAATCCGGAAAATGACTTCCCCTTTTTTTTTGGCGGAGGTCATTTTCCATCTTTCAATCAACACACGCAGACACGCTCAAGCCTTCTTCTCCCTTCACTGCTTCTTCTCCCACTTCACCTCCTCCTTCAACATTCAACAGAGAACTACCAACACATCTCCACCAACAATCCACAACCACAAAAGCTTCACCAACACTAGAAAAGCTACAAGGTATATCATTTTTCCTTTTTGATTTTTTTTTTCCAAATATTATGGCTTCTTCACTGGTTTCCCCGGCCGGAAACCAGGGGCTGGGGAAACCAGTGAGTCTGGTTTTCCGCATTGGAAACCAGATCTGGTTTCCGATCGGAAACCAGTGACTGCACTGTTTTCCGATTGGAAACCAGATCTGGTTTCCGATGCGGAAAACCAGCGGAAACCAGTTGCAATTTTTTTTTTTTTTGATTTTTTATGCCAAATCAGTGAACTTGTTGCTGATATTTTTTTTTTTACTGATTATATAATAAAATGCTTTGCTTAATTTGTGGTTATGTGTTAGTTTTAATTGTTATTATTTGTTGTCATATCATTTGATTGTATAGATGGATAGAAATGTCTAAGTATGTCATTCTGTTCATTTTCTGGAAAATGAACCAAACACCAAAAGACAGTTTTCCATCATTTTCTGGAAAATGAACCAAACACCAAAAGACAGTTTTCCATTGTGCAGCCAAACACAGGAAAGGAAAATGACTTCTAGAAAATGACTCATTTTCCAGAAGTCATTTTCTGGGTTTCCAAACAGACCCTAAATATAATTTTATAAGGCAATGGTGTAATTACTAAATACTTAAATTATGTAGGATTTTTAGGTTAACTGTTTATGAAGATTTTAATATTTTATTTCATATATTGTTGTCCTTAATGATTTAAAAAGATTGATCACCATTTAAATTGATATGGACATACATAAATGAGAGTGAGAAGTGATACCGTGTATTAACAGCTTATACCACATACCGTGAATTGAATGAAATATTGAGATAGAATTATACAAATGTGATTCATGCATGAGCATATTATGCAATTTATATTATTGCTTGCACTAGAGCTTTTCACAAATATTAATGCATTCATAAATGAGCATATTACACAAATGATATTATTGCTTGCACTAGAGTTTTTCATAAATATTAATGCAACTTTGATTATTTAAATCTACAGAGAGATGATTTGCATTAATAATTGGAGATAAATTTGATATAGCTTGAGAAGGTTTATCATAATGTTGATACTATTATTATTATTAGAAATGAAAACTGTGCCTATAATCCTATATTTGGGCAAAGAATGGTGTCTATCTTCACTAAATACAAAATATCTCAAGCAATCAAGCATCTTTCCGAATTAGTACCATCTATTTCAGAATGGGAACCAAACGTTTAGATCTCATTAGGCAATGATTTACCTCACAGAGTGATACAAGCATTAGACATGAGGACAGTTCTTGTGCCTTTTCAGATATCCAACTTGTCAGACTCTTTTGTCTTTGCTCATCAAGACCCTTTGAATCAACAATACTTATACAAGGTGGTTCATCAGGATACTGTCACAGGAATTTCATCAGAATCAGTATTAAACTTTTACTGTATACTTTTCTCTTTCATGAGTAGTATGCATGACTTCTGAACCTTATAGAATCAGTACTTGGCTGTCCTATAGACCAGTTTATTGAGATGGAAAATGTGATGTGACAACAATTTATGTCACAAAGGAGCAGAGTTAACCGCTAGATGAACCCTAGCTTTATTATCTTAACTAACATGCAACATATTAATGGATTCAGAAAAATACTACACGGACTCCCAAATTTTACTCCCTAGACCCAAACTACTTGATGTGGAGTGTGAACTACCTTCTCTTGTAAAAAGAAAGAAAAGAAAAAATCTTGGTACTTCTAATGCTCAACACATCAGGGAGTTTGGTCAGAGTAAAAACTGGGAGTCTATGTAGAAGGACTCATAATGCATTCAGATGCTAGCTTCTCTCTCTCTCTCTCTCTCTGCATAAGTACAAATATCTTCTCTTTGTTTTTCATAGGTATTTAGGTGCTAACTTCTACCACACATAGTGTACCTTAGGACATGCCCGGATGCTTATGATTGCCTCCACAAACTGCAAAAAGAAGGAAACACCTGAAAAATGATGTTTCTATGACAAAGAAACACAAAAATGCAATGATACAAAGAATGCATCACTAAAGAATCTAGTTCATGATGCAAATGTAAATCTAGGAAAAGGCCTTCTCAATAAGCAACCGGTGCATCACACTTCTTTTACAGTTGTACCAAAAAATTATGCTATCAATAGCGTAGCCAAGAATGCAAGATTGTGGCAAGAAACACAAACACTAATAGCTTAGAGGAAAGACAGCACAAAAAAAACCCGCATCTTCTCCCTTTTCTACAAAACTCACCGCTTACGCACACACAAATATACATCCTTCTAGGAAAAAAAAACTTACTACCAACTTCAGTGTCACAGATTGAGAAGAAAAGTCAGAAAAGAGCAACAGACAGGAATAAAGTTGAATAGCATAACGATTGAAATTAATATTCACAGTTCCTTGAGTGATTGTCGTCCTATAAGAGCACAAGTTATTGATTGATTCGATCATAAAACTACAATTTCAATTAGAAAACATAACATGATTATACAAGCAAAGCATTCACCTATAGACAGGGAGGACGGAAGAGACTGACCTGTTGAGAGGTGATATCGGCGGTTCGAGGTTTGATGCGAAGATGAAAACTCGGAGGGCACTTGTCGAGAATGATACAATCGTCTCCATAGACAGCTTCTACTGCTTCTAGTTCAGCCAGTACTTCCTCTTCCGACATGTTTTAGCTGCCGGGGTTAGAGACTTGCAGAAGGAGAGCAGCGTCCGCCGGTGGGTGGGGATGTGGAGACCGGGTACTGGGTCTGGGTATGTATACTTCACGCCGGATCGGTTTATATATTCAAGAAATGGCAAGATTTAAAAGCATGCGTCAAAAATAGGCAACTTTTCTTCAATTGGCGAATCCATTTTTTATGTTCATCAAATCACAAACACATTTGCCAAATGCGGTTAACGTTTCTTGTGAAATTTTTTTTTTAATTCAAAAGAGTTTCTAGTAGAGTCCTACCTATGATAAACTATGTGCCCCTCGATTGATTTGGGATTGATTTGGGTGCGGATGCGATTACCAGGCCTGATATTTCGTTTGCAGTGAATCGTTTGGCTCAATCTATGGCATCGTCGACTGAGAGTTATTGGCAAGCTGTGAAGCGAGTCGTGCGCTACTTGAAAGGTACAGTGCATTTTGGCCTTTATTTCCGGTGTGGTTGCCCACTATCACTGGTGGCATATTCAGACTCCGACTGGGGTGGTATTCGTGAAGGGGGGTGATCAACCACGACCTACTGTGTCTTTTTTGGCTCCAACCTCATTTCCTGGAAGTCTTCTAAACAACGGCCAGTGTCTTGGTCGTCCACGGAAGCCGAGTTCCGGGCGCTTGCTAATTCCGCTGCTGAAGTAATGTGGGTCCAGAGTCTGTTGCGGGAGCTTGGTATTTTTCTACGGTCTACTCCTTGCTTGATAACGGATAATTAAAGTGCCTCTTATGTGTGCAAAAATCCGGTGTTCCACTCTAGGATGAAGCACTTGGCGCTTGACTACTTTTTTTTTTTTTGTTCGTGAACAGGTTACTTCTGGTGCCCTACGTGTCAGCTATGTTCGTTCCGCTGAGCAAGTGGCTAACCTCCTTACTAAGCCTCTTGGTTCTCATTTGTTTGCTATGTTCCAATCCAAGCTTGGGCTCATGACGGTGCCTCAATCTTACGGGGGCGTGTTGAGACTTAGTTTTAGGCTTTTGTTATGTTTATCTGGTTATGCTTATTTTTCTGTTTATTCGTTTACCTAGTCTTTTGGTTTAGGTATAACCACTCCTCTTTTCATGATCATGTAGTCTATTTAAGCTTTGTGCTTTACGTTGAATAAACTACAATTGATTACACTTCAACATAGAATACCATTCATGAGAGGTTACTTTTTTATTTTAAAACCATACTAGCTACTCAGAAAACCATTGATATTTTTATTTTATTTATATATGTCCAACATGTCAATTTTTCTTGGTCTAAGCAATTAGTAATTAATTTTTTTTTCTTTAGCATTTTGGTTGAAAACCTAAATTTGTAAAAATAAAACACACTTTAAAAATATTATCAATCAACATATTGGAGAAATAGGGGGGGGGGGGGGGGGGGTTTTCAATCAAAATACCCTTATACATTAACAAAAAAATCTAGTGTCACCAATTTCAAAAAACTTCATTATTGACTAATCACTAATAGAATTCATTTAATATCAAGATTTTTTCATGAATAAAGAATAATTTTCCTAATGGAGTCGTCATCAATATAGTTTATCATAGGTAGGACTCTACTAGAAACTCTTTATTCTTATCTTATTGAAATTAGATATCACATTCATTCCCATTTAGACTCCTCAAAATTGTACTCAAATTTCCTCTGTCATTTAGAGTTCTTGACAAGTTGATTTTGCAAGCAATTGATAAGAATTACCACGTTTAGTCCTAAACTTTCAAATTGACCATCTGTGGCCCTTCGACTTTCAAATTTAACCATTCATGGTCCAAGTTAACCACCCATGATCCTTAAACTATTAAATTTTAACCAATCATGGTCCTTTCAAGAGGGCCATAGCTGGTTAAATTTCGAAACTTGAAGGACCATGGGTGGTTAACTTGGACCACGAATGGTTAAATTTGAAAGTTGAAGGACCACAGATGGTCAATTTGAAAGTTTATGACTAAACGTGGCAAAATCACTATACTCGGAGGACCTCAGATGGTATTAACTCTTTCAAATTTTTTAAAACAATCTTGTTGGGAAACATCTCATGGTATGATAGCTCTTTCGGCATGTGCAACATCGAAATTAAAACAATAAAACTTATGCATATATTGCACTTTCCAAATATTTAATAATTTAGTAGTATAAAATTGTTCAACAATTAATAATCTTGACACATGTTAGGTGTAACATCCTCAAATTATAACACCAAAATATAAGGGAAAAACATCTAATTTAAATGACATAAATATCCTTAAAATAACATCCATCCATTCATAATATTAAAATCCTTAAAAGAAGAGAGTGTTACGGCCACACCTATCCACACACAGATAGATGTAAGCCTTCCACCAAAACAAAAATTCCGAAATACGCGTTCTACGGGACCCCAAATCCATACATGTCAAAGTAAGGAGATCCTAAAGTTACCATCTCAACAGAATCCATAAAAGTAACATCAATGTTTCAAACGTCATGAGAATTACCAAATCACTACTAAGAAGGACTACCAAATCACTACTTCGCTCTCTCAAGGCAAGCACTACTCCAAACCTGAAAATGGTAAGTTCAAAACATATTAAAACACAAAGTTAGCATAAAAATGCTAAGTAAAAAGCATTCTACCCCATAAAACAATTAAATTTTTAACTTTATAAGAAAAATGATTATATTCAAAATCATAAGATTTACATTTAAGCAAAAAGTTTCACACTTAGAACATTTAAGCACTCATACACTCACTCACCCATAAGCTCAAAAACACTAATCATGATTGAGAGGAAAGATTTTAGCAATCGTACATATATACATACATATATACATTCATACATAAATACATACACACACACACACACACAAGTGTATATACGTAGATATAAGTAGGGAGGAATTTCAATACATTTCTCAAAGTATTCCCAAGTATCACATACACATATTGAGAAATTCAAATCACAGTTGTGGGCTAGAGACATCATCTCAGTGAAGCCCTAAGCGAACAACAACTCTCTATTGAACACACCACAAAAACCTCCAATTTTCAAAGGTAGAATCAGGACCGCTACCTTAAGTGTGCTCACGGCACACCCCCTAATTGGGATTCCAAGCCTAAAAGGTAGTAAACCAGCCCTAGTAACCTATGATGTTTTCTACTAGGTTACTCCTCAAATAAAGTATCCAGAATGTTTCCTACCGGATACACCTCAAAAATAGGGCCTTAGTCCACAAATCACATATCCTTCGAAATAATACATTTTTATATGTCCTCCCAAAATAATATAATTTTGTAACATATTCTTCTAAATACATTTACATAATCATATACTCTTCAAAATAATGTAAATATACTTCAATATTCATTGTCCTTAGGCTATCAAAATATCATTTCTTATATACAACTTCATATCAATACCATAATCATACATTTTCTAAAAATAGCAATCTCTCAACCATAACACTTCTAACTCATATACTCCATCAGTCCCGTTTTATGTGTCTGGTTTGGTTAATGAGGCTTGACTAAAGTTATTTTTAATTCAATTTTTCATAATATTAAGTTTAGAATTAGTATACAAAATTTATATATTTAGAAACTACACTAAAAGTACTATCAAACACTAAAAATAAAATTTAAAAATAAGTAAAAAATACTAAAGAAAATAAACAAAGAAAAAAGAATTGGTTTGACCAATGAATAGTAAGTAGGACAGATAAAATGAGACAGAGGGAGAAATATTTATATCCCAAGTATCAAAAAACATCCTCAACAATATTGAAAATATTTTCCATAAGTATTTCCAAAATTATAACACAAATTATCACCCCAATGCATGCCAATTGATTTGAACTCACGGGTCCCTCGAGACCCGTGAAGAGGTCCCGCGGCCAGGGGCCTTGTGGCAGGACTATCTAGTCTCGCCTCTAAGTCCCATGGTCTCACGGGCTTAGGTAGCAGGACTAGAGGTCCCGCCACATTGGCCTTTAACCTTCTCGCAGGGTTGGCCTACGAGTTTTTCGGACCCGTGGCTAGTCTGATGAGCTCAACAACAACCTACAAGTTCTCTTCTCCGACGATTCTAATGCCAAAACACACACACATTTATTTATTTATTTATTTATTTATTTATATTTTATTTATATTTATAATCCAAATATCAACACATTTACTACGGCCTGCCCTCATTTTGAAACCAAAAACAATTTGTAAAACTTCATGAATAAACACATAGATAGCATACAAACAATAGGGCAAAATATACATTTAAAAGACATGGATCCTTACCTCTAATGCTACCACCTCAAAGCAAGAATCTCCCCTAAGTCTCAAGCCTGATCTCCTGCTACTCCACCTGCTTTAACCTAGACCACCACACAAATACATCACAAAACGACAACACAAAGACAGGCCTCAATACAAGATAAACAAATGGAATGAAAGGGAAATGAAGAAGAAGTGAAGAAGCTTACAAAGACAACAACTCATCAGACTAAGAAAAGCTCTGATTTTCTTCTTCTCAGCAAAGGAAATGGGGAGGAGATTGAAGAGGAGAAACGACTACAGTAGCCATTATATAGGGGCACAAAACCCTAGGTCGGATGAGATGTGGTTGTTTGGTCTCCAAGAATATATTCAAGGAGTATTCTATGATTTAGGGTTGGGGTTCAGCCTTTTGGAAGAAGGAATATTCTAGGATCAAGAATGAGTGGGTTGGGCTGAGAGATTAGGCTAGGGAGTTGAGTCATTAGATTTAATAAAATCAGATTTGTTGTTGTAAAATAGTGTGGACTTGAGTTTGGACTTATAATAAATATAATAATGATTATAGGATAGTCTCAAATAGATTTCTGGGTTCAAACATTGATATAATATATAAGGTCTGTAAAATCATAAAATAGTCCTATAATTATTTTTGTACTAAAATAATTTATTTTGAAATCATAAACGAGGTAAAACCAACAGTGGTCAAAATTAGTTTTATTTTTAGAGTATTTATAGGAAAGTAATAATATTGTTTAAAATGACAGGGTATTACATTAGGTCATAATAATAATAATAAATGTCATGTAGTTGCAAGTTTATTTTCTATTTCCAACCTAACGAGCACACAGAGTCAAC